AAAATAAAAGACACGCATGCATATCCACATAAAACTTTGATCTTCCAATCATAGGTGTTTCCCTAGCTAAGGATCCATGGACCCAGGTTAGGAATCTGTAGGCTAGATACCCTCTAAATTCAAGACACCTGGGACTGTTTAAAAAAATAATCAAATAGTATTTTTGGCTCCTAGAACAGCTCATCAGCACCATTCCTGTTCCATCTCTTGTATTTGATGCTAAAATAAAATAAAATAATAATCAGAACAAGCTCCATTCCTATTTTAGCCTAGCACTCCTCTCCTGCTGCACTGGAATTCTTTGCACATAGAAGATTTCATGCAACCTATGGAATCCCAGGCTGGAAGAGATCTTAAGAGTCACATGACCAAGTCTATTGTCCAAGTCTGTGCATACATCATCTCTGCCAGTTGTCACGAGAAAATGCACAACCTTGGAAATAGCCCTTTCCATCTCCAGACAGCACTAACGTGCTCATTCTACTCATTAGGCAAATAGAGGCTCAATGTCAAGGCACTAAAAGCTTGTAGGTAGTTCAGGAAAAGTTTAGGACTGATACTTTTTAATGGTTCCAAAAAAAATGTAAGGCAAAAACAAAAAATACAAAATGGAAATTAATAAGAATTTTAAAAGCAAAGTTATAAAAACCCATTCAGAAGTTATAAGGAAAAACTACATTTTGACATATTGTGAGGTGGTGTGTCTAAAGGTAAGGGTGTCCAGAGTCTATTTAATTCTTACTAGTAAATGGCTTGAGGTCTGACTAGCTTTCCAATTACCATATCTCCCCACCCCATTTTCACCTGAAATATGACTCTAACTTCTGCTTAAGATGCCTGGTTCTCACCCTTTCATCAATTAAAAGAAAATTCAGAACACTTTTTCTTCCAAGTGACAGTCATTAGTTGTAAATAGCTATTAGAAGTAGTTCTCTGATGTTACTTTAAAACATGCTTCAAATTCCTTCACCTGCTCAATTCTGAATCTATTCCAGTTTGGCCATGTATCTATTGGTTGTGGGTAGTGTTTGAAGATAATGACAACTATGATGACAGTGATGATTCCATTTTATTAATATTGTGAAAAGTGCTCAATCTTAGTCTGTTGGTCAACTGGGCTAACCAACTAATTGATTTTACAGTTTGGAAAAGATGGAGGTTCTACTTCAGAAGGCTAGAAGAGTCCTTCCAAGACCAAGCAGAGGAAAGATAAGGATCTAATTTTGCTGAACTCCCTGCATTCTTAAGACTAAAACTGATTATCTTCTCATTCCATTTGACATAAAATGAACTAAATAATCCTGGCTTGCAATAACATGTGTAATAAATCATATAAATGGGCCCGGCCGGTGTGGTTCAATAGTTTGGTGTCAACCTATGAACCAGGAGGTCACAATTCCATTTCTGGTCAGGGCACATGCCCAGATTGCAAGCTCGATCCCCCAGTAGCGGGTATGCAGGAGGCAGCCGATCAATGATCTTCTCTCATCATTGATGTTTCTATCTCTCTCTCCCTCTCCCTTCCTCTCTGAAATCAATGAAAATATATATATTTTTAAAGAAATTTAAAAAAAAAAACTTTTGAAACAGGGCAAAATAGCCTTCGCATTCGGCCTATAGCAACATTAGATCCCAAAGAAAAGTTTGCAGAGATAACAAGAAAGCAGATATTATGACTATCAGACTGAAAATTACAAACATTCTTTAGAATTCGTGTCACTGTTAGCTTATCTGCACCAATAGAAATGCCTTCCTCCCATTAATGTAATTGTTCCCCTTCCATTTCCCATCCATGCCCATTGCTTTTGTCTCCTGATCAGAACACCATTTGGGTTTCTGCCTGAACCAGTGTGTCCTGAATAGCTATTCTTTTTTCTCTTCTTTTTTTTTTTTTAATCTCAAATAGATGCATGTTGCCTCTCACTTTTGGCCTTTAATTTTTAGGTTAACACCTGGATTCAAGCCGGCCTCTTTTATAGAATGACTTTGTGGGTGACTCAGTCCTACCTCCTCAGTCAGGTTTCTCATCTACAGTAGCGAAGTCTCACAGAGAGGGAGGACCGCATGTACACAGTTACCTTTTGGCACCTCTCCAGGCTGGCTCAGGTATACCCAAAGAAAGAGTCTACCCTCACCTTTGCACTGATAAATTTGGGCAAATCACCTTTCAAAAGTATCTCTTTTAGGTTTTAAAAAAATTATTTTAAACATTATTTACCACAATCATCCTAATTTTTATTACTATTGAATAATAATATTTTATGTAGCAGTTTATCTGTGATGTCCACTAAGGTTGGTTTTGTAGTTATTACTTCAAATGAGTGATTAGTTATTTATAGTGACAAAAACATGTAAACAGCCTAATTGTCCAGTCATAAAAAAAGAGAAGGATAGCATCCAGCCATTAAATACTATGCTTGTGAAGAGTGTCTAGTGATACAGAAGATAATTAAATTATTGAGTGAATAAAGAAACATAATATTTTGTAAAATAAGATTCCAGCTGAGTAGTAAAAACAGATGCCTCTCTTTTTAAACAAACTGGAAGAAGCCCAGCAGGTGTAGCTCAGTTGGTTGAGCTTCATCCCATGCTCCAAGAGGTTGCCCGTTTGATTCCGGTCAGGTCACATGCCTGGGTTGCGGGCTCAATCCCCAGTGGAGGACATACAGAAGGCAGCCGGTCATCAATGTTTCTGTCTCTCTCTCTCTCCCTCTCCCTTTCACTCTCTCTAAAAATCAATTTTTAAAATAAATAAAACAAGCTGGAAGGAAATAAACAACAAGGTTAAGAATGTGAAGATATATTTTTAAAATATATTTTTATTTACTTTAGAGAGGGAGAGTTAGAAACATCAATGATGAGAGAGAATCATTGATCGGCTGCCTCTTGCATGCCCCACACTAGGGATCGAGCCAGCAACCCAGGCATGTGCCCTTGACCAGGAATCGAACCATGACTTCCTGGTTCATAGGTCGATGCTCAACTGAGTCATGCCAGCTGGGCCTAAGTTTTACTTTTATACAAGAAGGAAAACTCATTCAAATCCAAACATTCATGAAAGGGAAACTGTTTGTCTATATTTCCTTTGGGGAATTGGAGGCACCAGTGAAGGTGTGCTAAAGAAGGCAAAATGACAGCATCAACATCATTGTTCAGAATTTTTGTGTTTCTAGATTTTTATATCTAATTCTGAATACAACTGACTCCTTCACTGTACTCACCTCCATCCCCAACACACACACACACACACACACACACACACACACACACAAATTAATGAAGTAGGACAAGGGGGCTTAGCTGCCCTTATACTCTTCAAATGGTGGTCAGCCATATGCCCCATATGTTCACTGCCTTTTCCCTGAAAGTCTCGGTAGGCAGAAAAAAAGAATTTCTCCAGAATCAAATGTAGTCCAATTATGTCTAAAAAGCAATGTTCATTCTTAGGATGATCAGTCCAGTGAGCCAACCTCAAAGCCTAGATTATCAGAGGCCATCCTGATTCAGGCCACATAAAAGACAGGCAGGTCACCCCAACTTTGGGTTCAGAGAAGTTTGTCATATTTAATCAATGTGCAACTGGGTTTTTTGTTTTTTTGTTTTTTGTTTTTAAATACGTATGTAAAAAATATTTTTACAAAGAGAGAAAGGGAGAGGGAGAAAGAGAAAGAAGCATCGATGTGAGTGTGAAACATCAATCAGCAGCCTCCTGCACGTCCCCTACTGAGGATCAAGCCCACAACTCAGGCAAGTGCCCTGACAAGGAATCGAACAAGCAACCTTTCGGTGTACAGGCCGAAGCCCAATCAACTGAGCTACACCAGCCAAAGCTAAAATAAAGATTTAGTATAACTTTAAAAATATGAGGTGTTGCCCCACTAGTTGTCAATAGGGGATGAGACTCTTAAAAGTGTATGGTCAAGTGTGAACAGGGTGTGGGGAAATGGGAATGTAAATCTAACAGAGCCACTTTACAGAGCCTGTTAAAACTGATAACAGCACACCTGAGGGCACAGCAATCCCTCCTCTGGCCATATATCCTGGAGAGTCATCACACATGTACTAGTGGACATAGGCAAGGGTTTTAATCTCAGAAATGTTCATTTTTATAAAAAATTGGAAACCACAAATGTCTTTCAATGGGGGAATGGATAAATAAAGTTTCACATGTTTACAGGGTGGAATATTTACGGCAGTTAATCCAGATAGCATATGGGTCAACATGGAGATATCTACATGTGGGTAAAAGACGTAGGTCTTTGTGGATTTAAAAGACATATCTATAGACTTATAGTTCCCATGGGAATAAGTATCAAAAACATGTTTAGTGAAAAAGAGTAAGTTCTAGAATAACATCTGAAGAATGATACCATTTCTGTAAAAAAAAAAAAATAGACAAACTACAGCTGTCCATTTTGATAAGTGCAGGTATATGTATGTTATAATACAAGAACATTCTAGAAGGAAACACATTAAAACCATTACAGGGATTATCTCTGGGGAAAGATAGAGGGGACTGGGATTAGGGGTGGGAAAGGTAAAAAGGGATTCCAGCTTGGTTTGTGAGATTCTAATTTTTCAAAGATAAATGCATTCCAGTGTTACCTATGTATCTACAATTCCTTTTTAAAGTCTCCCCAATTAGGAGCCTCCTGTAAGAAAGTGTTTTCCACAACACTACACCCGCTCTTCCCTACTTTCCCTCCACGCTCACCACACCCAGCACACTCACTCAGCCCAGCTCACTGGCGTTGTAAGGAAGTGCCCCAAAGCCCTCGCTCACTTTTACAACCCTCCGAGGGACCAGAGCAAATCACATTGGCAATGAGTCTTTGCAGAAAAAGTTATGTCAGCTAACAGCTGGCAGAAACGCCATTTGGTTCCAAATGATCCCATGGGTTTTATCTCTCTTTCCTGATGATTTTGAGAGCACAGTATTTTAGAGTTTGGCACTAGCCAAACCAACAGGAGAACAGAAGGCAAGTCCCCACATTTCATACCTGTCGAAAACCACTGCAGAATAAGCCCGCTCGGCAAAGATGACGTCCGAAGCCCAGAACTCCTTCGTGGCCTTCAGGCCCCTGCCCTTGCCTTCAGAAGTGAAGACCTCCACGTTCTCCATTTTCCCTATTGTCATCTCACAGGCTTTCAGGCAGCGGGGCAGGTCCCTAACACTGAGCCAAGCCTCTTGTCCTCGCTGCTATTTTAGCACCTTCAGCATCCCAAAGCCAAGCCTATAAATGGGCAGGCCACCTCCCCTTCCCCACCCCCCTGGCCACGGGGCCCTCACCTCCCCCTCTGCCCCTTTTCCTGGAGGCAGGGAGGGGAAGGACAAGAGGACAGTGAGGTGGGAAGGGTCTCACTCATCACCCAGCAAAGCTGACAGAGCAGAAGATGACCATGGGCTCCTGCGGCTCGGGGATGGGGTCGGAAAACTTGAAAAGCTCTTTTGCAAGAGGAAGCTCAGTCCTGATGGCCGTGGTGTTGAGCTTTAGTTGGAATAGGGAGTACTTGTTCACTAAGGTATTTTTAGCATCCAGATGCCTCTGTCAATCCGAAGCAGACAGCTGAAAGGGTCCGGGGGAAGAGGCGAGCCTGCTGCCCTGGGACCTCGCATCAGTCAGGCTTCCACTTTCTCAAGGGAGGTGGCCCCTTGTCCCCCTGCCTTTCGGAAAGCTAAAGGTGGGTGGCAGACACCGAGCCACCCCTTTGGCAGACACATAACAGTACTAGCTAGGCTCCAGGGGCATCTCTCTTCCCCTACATTACTTGGGGTTCCCACAGCACCCTCACCAGGGCAAAGAGGTCTGGAAATTACCTGATCATGCAGGTGTGCTGGATGCTGGGTGCAGGCTATATGAGAGGAGGCAAGCCCTGACAATAAAAACCCTATTTCTATCTTTCTATCAAATCTCCCTTAACATGTGTTTACTGCCAGGAAAATATCAACATGCCCTGTGCTTCTTGCCCAGGAGTGATGACACTGGAGAAACGATTCTAAAATCTCCAATGAACTAAGTACCAACTCTCGCTCAGGTTGAAAAGGAAGATCCTTGCGGATCTAGGGCTGTGGCTTATCCTCCACGTAGTGTTTTTGTTTCTGGGATGCGTCTATTTCTGGGAGGCCTCCTCTGGATCTCTGTGCATGCGGTCCTTCTCAAGCACCAGCTTCTGAGTCAGATCTGCATTTGAATGCTGAGTCTACCACTAGGACTTTGAGATAGAAGCTGTAAAACAAAAATGATAATGTCTGCCTCTCCTCCACATTGCCAGGACACGATGAGAAGTCTGCACCCCAGAAAAGGGCCTTCACCAGACTATGCTGGCACCCTGACCTAGGACAGCCAGCTTCCAGAACTGTGAGAAATAAATTTCTGTTGTTTATAAGTTACACAGTCTGTGATATTTTGTTATTGCCACCCAAATGAACTAAGACGCGAACCTAACCTAGTAAGGGAGAAATATAACGAAAGTTATCCTATAATAAAATATATATTCATTGTAAGTTAAATATGTCAGTGTGCTCATTATGCATATGCTTGGGTACAACTACACTAGGAAATATGATAAAGTCAGATGTTTGCTCCTAAGTAGAATCACTGTGATAGTTGAGAGCTGGTTGAATCTGGAGACACAAATTCCACACATTGTTGTATGTGACATGGTTTCCTGAAACGGTGAATGGTGTTTAGTCAAGGTCTGAATGAATAAAAGTATAATCTTCCTTCAGTTAACAAGAACTTGCATTACTGGGAAATGTTGTGAATTTTAAAATTTTACAAAAGCTACTCTATGATTGAATATAAAACAGAATCCTGAAATGAGCACCTGGATCTTTGAGGTTGTGCAGGATGGGCAAAGATTCTTCACTGTATCAGGGTGTCCCTTGCTTCCCAAGACATCTAGCATCTTTGTGCAAGGTCAATGAGGCAAGGGGTATTGGCACTGTTACCAGTCTTTTGGCTGGTAATAGGGAGGGGGACACAGGGCCCTGCTACATTGCTATCAACACAAATCCTATAAGGTTTTTTTCCTCATCTGCCCTAGTTCTCCCTCCCCTCCATTTCAAAATCACTGTGAACGACAAGATCAAGGAAAAAGTGCTTGTGTATATGTAGCAGAAGTTTAAAGAAATGCATGGGAATGAGAAATGCTTCATTCAGGATAGTATTTACTTCTGAGGGAAGGAGACGTTCATTAGAAAGTAGGGTAAGAACATTCCAGGAAGAGAGAGTAGCATATACAATGAGTTGAGTTTGTACAATAGCTTGATATTTACGGGAATCAGTAAAGGTTGCTGGATCATAAAGTGAAAGCAGGGTGGGGAAGTGGAGGCAACAGGAAGAAAATGAGACCAGGAGCCTGGTAGGACTCACTTTTGACTTCCCCTACAGACAATGGGAGCCAGTAATGGCTTCTAGAAGGAACCCTTTGGCAGCAATGTGGGCAGTGGATTGGAGGTGGTGAAGTCAGGAGGGGTGTCTGTTAGGCAGCTACTGCCCTGGTTCTAACACAAGATGATGAGAAGCTGAAATTAGTGGCTGTGTGACAGGAAAGAATGCCCAAGAGTAACCTGCACCGTACACCAGGAGACATGACCACCAAGAAATGGGTAGAATAGCCTTAATAGGTTTGGCTCAGTGGATAGAGCGACGGCCTGCGGACTGAAGGGTCCCAGGTTCGATTCCGGTCAAGGGCATGTACCTTGGTTGCAGGCACATCCCCAGTAGGGAGTGTGCAGGAGGCAGCAGATCAATGTTTCTAACTCTCTATCCCTCTCCCTTCCTCTCTGTAAAAAATCAATAAAATATATTTTTTTAAGAATGGGTATAGTGTACAGCAATGAAACAAATAAATGACACATATACTACAGCTGGACGAACCTCAACATGTTGAGTGAAACAAGTCCCAGAACTGCATAGGGGAAGACATAAATCTTATGAAATTCAAAAAGAATCTAAGCTTTTTAAAGCTACATGTATTTGTGATAAACATATATACGTAAGGAAATGATGACTACAAACAGGATAGTGATTTCTTTGGGAGTTGGGGAATAAGATGGTGAGATTTACATGTGTTTATGTACATACATGGTTACATACACATATTTGACAGAGAGGAAAGGAAAGAGGGAGAGGGAGGGCTAAAGGGGGGAGAGAGAGAGATCGTTTATGGAGCAATGATGACAGCGTATCAGGACCAACGATTTTGTTTAATCTACGTAGACAAACGGCCCTAACAAAGGAAAGAAAGATTAAGCAGGAGATGCTCTGGAGTAGAGCCCGTAGACTCCAGACTTTTATTGTAGGTGGGTTTAGATTCACTCTCTGGAAGATTGGAGGCCCCGCGTGCTTCTCCTTCTGGGCAACGGGGAGGCGGAGGGGTCTGCTAAGGAATAAGGGAGTTGAGCCAAATGAGCGCTGAGCCCCCGACAGGCGGGCGAGGGGGCGGGGCGACAGGAGGGCGGGGCGGGGCGCCGTGTGG